TGCAAAAAGGTACCTGATTTCTTTGCATGTTAATCTTTAAAATAGTTCTGTAAATATAGGTAAAAATCTATAATTTTAAAGATAAAAACTCCAGCAAAATCCACAAATACAATTAGTTTTTGTTTTCATATATGCCACAAATGGGGCTAGCCCTGGGACAATGGCACTGTGCATAACGAGTGCCTTTGTAATGTCAAATTGTGTGGCTGATACACAGTTGGAAAACCCAGCACACTAAAATCTATTTTCTGTTTATTCTTATCTAGAACAATATTTACAAGTGGTTTACCACAGTATGTCACATTTCAAAATGAAATTGGGGAGACACTTTGAAGGGGGACATGAGGAATACAACCCTCAACATCTGATTCTTCAGTCTTAGAAGTTTGGTGAACTTTCTGACCAAGCATGACATTCCATAACAGTCTACTGGATGCATTCTCACTTCTTCAAAAGAAGAAAGGGAGATAAAATTATATATCATTTCAGTATATGGCTTGTGATTGCAAATATGCAATACTTGGACACCATCACAGTCCTGAAACATCTTTTGCATTTCATTAGTATACTTTTAAGGGAAACCACATGGGTTTGTATAATCAGTTCTCTGCCAAATTGTAGCTGAATGTCTGATTTCTGTTCACAAGCTACATGAAGCATGCCATCACCCATCATGGGAATTGTGATGTGTGGTCTTTCTTTTTTTTCTTTTTTGGCTATGGTGTTAAGGGATAAGAAAATGGATTGCAAATCTTAGCACTGCAAATATGTCATGAGTTATAAATGGACATGCATGTGATTCCACTTTTGATAGTGGCTAATATGTGACAATGAAATATCTATCGTTCAATAGTAAACAGTATTAACCCTCTCTGATGCCCATACCTTGTTATATTCTGAGCCAGTTCTGTTATTTCATGATGGCAGTGAATGGAGGAAGAGGTTTGCTCTGAACACATTCTCAGCAGGAAAGCCTGGTGCAATGCTGAAGGACAAAAAACCACATGGGTTTGTATAATCAGTTCTCAGCCAAATTGTAGCTGAATGTCTGATTTCAGCACAGTAGAATGGGCTGTCAAATGGACTGTGTGCAACTGACAGTAAGAAAAAGCAAATATATCATTGGAGTATAATTTCAAGCACAAAATGTGGTAACCAGGATTGGCCAAAAAAAAAAAAAATGAACACAGGAATTGGGACAGATTTCCCTGAAAATTCCTTTTTCAGATAACCTCTCTAACTGCTATAACTCCACTGTAGGCATCCTTCAGTCTGAAGAGACTATGGTAATGTGCTCTGAATAGAGGTCTTGGAACAGCGTCTAGTGTGGCTGAAAAAGCCACTTCGAGAGTGACAGTCCCTTCCACACTGAAGACAAATACAATCTGTCCCGTCCAGCTCCCCGATTTTGCTGGTTTCGGGACCGCCTCTTTGCCTCGGCCTGCTGGACAAGGATCTCTTCAAATTGGGAAAAGCCATGCTGCACCGCCTGCCTCCAGGCTGCTCTAACTACACCTTTGGGAACCAAATGATCTCCAGAACTGATTGCATTTTTTTTTGTCTGATCTCATTCCGTGTGTCAGTTATACATAGGAAAATGTAAGCATATTTTTGTGTAGAACTTTTATTAAAACTGAGTTTCTTGAAATACAATATCTATTTCTGCTATACTCAGCTAGAACTGCGTATCAGTAAACCCCAAGATGTCATCTCAGAAATAATTTTGGGACATGCAGTCACAACTGGGAAATCACAGAGCTTTTGTTTTAGATTATTTTTCATATATTCAATTTGTGCAAGTCACACCAGATGTGTTCTTCAATTCATTGTTTCCTGCTCCTGGAAAAAAACCAAAGGTGAGTGATCCTACCTGTGCCAAAAAAGTAGAAGTGTCCAACAGGGACCAGCAGACCAAATGGCAGGCTAAATGCCTGTGTAGTCACCCTCTTTGTAAGCTCAGAGGACACAATCTGGATCCCCACATTAAGAGAAAGGAAACTTTCATATTCCCACCCCTTGCTCTGAATCTGAGCATTGTGCCTTCAATTTTTATTACCAAAATAAGAACTGACACATTGCCCACTTATCCTGGAATAACCACGCGAGACAAGATACATGGATTAAACATGGGCCACACTTTATTATTCTTCATTCCATTTTATGAACATGCCAATCCTCTGGAACAAAGGGGGGGGGGTTCCTGCTGTAGTGCGGATTCAAATTCGTTGCTGGGTATTAGGTTGGCTCTTGCCCAGCTGCCAGGCTGGGCTCAGGCCTCAGTAATTCCCTTCGTTATCGACATGGAATAACTGACGGCCTCCAAATTTTCCCGGACCCCTTCCTTCTCTCTGCGCCTACCGGGGTCCGGGATTGCCCCCAGTGCATCCTGACCTCCCAGCACCGCGGTTGCCTGCCCAGGCATGCTACTGGTCGAGATGCGCAGGAATTTGTTGCCACTGCCCAAGAAACCAATATCCAGTACCTTTGAATCCGCACTACCCGCCCTGTGTGACCATATGCTACCACCTTTGCTTGGCCAACGCTCCTAATCCAGTGTGGGATAGGCGAAAAATCCCCGCCGCCGTATGCCAATTGGGTGACAGGTCAAAAATTCCTATCCGGCCCCCTATAGGGCGACCAGCTAATCTCACACTAGAGAATAGGGCGGGCGGGTGGATGGGCCAGTTCAGCATGGCCGATGGAGGACAATGGGAGAGCGCCTCTTTAAATGACCTCTGACCAGCCCACACCCCTTGTCCATCCTTGCATTCGGTCCCTCAACGTCACGCGTTAATCCAGGTAAATTGGCAAAGCCACGCCTCGATAATTGGATCCCTTCGGTCCCTCTATCGGCGTGACCAAATGTCATTGAATGTACAATCTGTATCTTTTTTTATTTACTTTTACTTTTTGCTAATGGAATAAATGCACAGACATTTTAAAAGTTATTAGTGTTTAATACAAATAAAGGGATCCCAGTAGTATACATCTATTAATTCTTTTATTGATTTATACAGTAGGGTAGAAAGCAACATTGATAAATGTAGTTAAGTGTTAACTTTTATGGTATTTTCAAGTGGCTCTATAGAATATGGGTGTTTCTGTATGTACTTGCAACATTCAAACTTATATATTTTGAGCTACCATTCATATTTCCTATGTAATAAAGTACAGTACAAAAGCTTCAAGGTATCTTAAACTTTCACATCTGTTCTTCAACTCTTTAAAGGGAAGATCAAGAGCAGAAAAACAAAATATCCATCCATTCATTTAATAATCCTCAGGAACTGTAATTGTCAGCATATTTGCAACTGCAATCATATAAAACCTTAGTTAGGATAAACTTACTGTTGAAAGTGAAACAGTGAACTAAAGGTTCCACAAATCTCTAGTATTCTTCTCCCCAGGACTGCTGGTACAGATACTATGAATTTAAAGGCTCAGGTAGAGGATAACGTGGAACAGCATATACAGTGGTGCCTTGCATAGCGAGCGCACCGTTTAACGACGAATCAGCATAGCAATGTCGCTTTTGCAATCGCATTGCGATGTTTACATAGGCAAAAACTCGCATTGCAATGATCGGTAAGCGTTTCGCTTACCGATCTTCGCATTGCGATGTTCTAAAAACAGCTGATCGGCGGTTCCAAAATGGCTGCCGGAAGAAAAAATGGCCGCCTGCTCCGTTTTCGCGCCCTGCCCTCACTTACCGAGGGGGCGAAAATGGCGGCCCTATGGAGGATTCCTGCTTAGCGGCGAGTTTATTCCCCATAGGAACTCCGTTTAATGCGTTCCTATGCGTTCCCTCCCCCGCATAGCGATGTTTCCGGATAGCGACGATTTATCCAGAACAGATTATCGTCGCTATACGGGGCACCACTGTATTTTAAAGTAGCAATGCCATTACTAAGTAAAAACACAAAGAAAGTTAGCAGAGGAATTTTAATTTATTCTCTTCTCAAAATTACTATTTGAGAAACCATTTACAACATTTATACATTGGCAATTTAAATTAAAATGACTTACAGTACCTGCAGAATAATTTTACTATTCATCAGCTATCTTTCTATCATTCAGCATTCTAGTTCCTTTTTTTGTTCTTTGTCTCTGGGGATAAAAATCCAGCAACTGGGTAGAACTAAAAACAGTGCTGGGTTGTGGTCTTTGTCTTTTCTTCCCTCTTAGAATTTTACATTCTTTGCCTAACTAGAGTGCAAAAATTTTTGTTTATTAATAAAATTTTATTTTATGCCAATAAATTATGACTATATTACATAAAGGATTATATGTTGTTTGAACAAAAACTACAAACTACTCAAGCACCATATGGGTTGCATTATAGGCTCTCAAGCAAAAACCACTCAGTCTATAGAGTTTGTCCCAAAATAATTTTAAATGAAATTGCTGTAGAAAAATCCTCAGAATTAATATAATGAATGTTGCACATCTATAGATCACTGCATGCAAAAATTAGTGCATTGATGTTGCATAGCTGTAATCTAAGAAATTGCTTAATAACATTCATCTTCATTTAAAAGATAAGGAAAATGAATGTTAAGTCCACGTATACAGAGTCTCATTTCACAAACAGACATAGAGGAGATACAACTGTTTCTTCCTTCTTTTCCTTATTCATTTCAATTACAACAGCCTCTCTTGTTCACTTGAGCAATGTTTTGGGTAGAAGTGCAGTCCCTTTTACATCTTAGTAAGTAGCTTGCTTCCTATTGAGCAGCATATCGCAAGACTGCTTCTCTCTAGAACATGAAGGTCCAAATCCTATTGCACTCATGGAGCAACCACTTAGGTTTCATACAAGCAACATGCATGTGCTCACCCATGCCCTGGTTGGGCAACTGACTGTGTACTAGGCATGTAAGGGACTGTCTGCAAAAATGGAAGAGTTTTGTGTGGTTGTCTTTAAGCCCATTTTTTGACAACAGGACCTGGCTAAAGTTACAATTTATTTTCTGCATACAAAAAAGAGTGTATTTTTTTTTAAAAAAAATGTGTTATAAGCCACATTTAAAAAACAGATATTTGGCAGAGTTCTCAAATCAGTCATTTGTATTTGTCTTTATCCACTGTATCATTTTGATCACCGAATCTCTTCTTTTTTCTTTTTTAGATTTTATTTCCTTCAAGATTTCACCTGTTATTGTTCTCAGTTGTGGTTCAAGTGTACTGTTAAGAAAACTTTGGACCTAAAACAATAAATATATAAAGTTAGTTTTCAAGTAGTATCCAAGGCTTTTTCAGTAATTAACTAAGGTTCTGAACAAATCGTGCTCTTTATCCAAATGTAACATTGAGAGTAACACAACAACAGATGATACGGATTCACATGAGTTTTGCCTATAGTACCCAAGGGCAGCCATTTTCAACAGGGTCCATATGACCCCCTGTGGGGTCCTGGCACATTTGAAGGGGTCACAGACTGGAAACAATTCTTCACAATTCTTTACACAATCCTGATTTGGCCTATATTTCTTTCATATTGTGCTTACAGCTGTGGAATGGCTGCTCTAGGAAATGTGCTCCTAACTATGGAATTGACTGCTGCATGTGAGGGGTAGGGGTTTTATAAAGATTGTCTCTGCCTAAATTTGGGAGGGGGGTTATCTCCCTTCTGCGCCAGCCAGCTATTCAAGATGGCTCTCCATTCCACAGGTCCACCACTGGACGTTGCCCAAGATTTCCTGCTTCCAGTCCTTATTGAGAGCATCTACTCTAAGCAGCAAAATCACACACACAAAAAATCCATTTCCTGCTTCCAGTCCTTATTGAGAGCATGTACTCTAAGCAGCAAAATCACACACACTTTATTACTTTCCATTCCACATGATTTTTCACATACAAGATAAATATCTCTGTTTTCTTCATACTTCAGGACTATCATGTTGTTTTATTAAGCTCTGGTCCAATGATTCTTCTTACCATTTGGAGCTCAATGTCTGTCCTGACAGACCTCATGAAAGCAGTTAATGCTTCAAATCCACTCCTGTAACAGAAAGCGTGGTGAGATTTTTGTAAGGGAGAAAACATTTTTATAGGGGATGCTACATGTATAGCACTACATCTCATCTCTCTTCACCTACTCAAGAATATTTTTGCAAGAGTAAAATAGAACTGCTAATATGGATTTTCCCAAAAAACCTTTCAAATTCAAGGGCTATATTTCTACAGGGGAAACTGGCCTTACTGGAAACAATAGGCAAGACCAAAATCAAGAGAGGAAGCATCTGTTCTTTCTCGCTTCTGCTCTCCTTTTCATCATTCACCCAGCTTCACACATTTTTCTCTTTCATGGACACATACATACAAGCACAGAGACTTGACTCCTTCACCCAAAAATCATCATGACCAGAAGCAGTATTTTATGTTGTGTCACTGTTGCCAGGGGAAGTTTAAATGCTCAGTCCCCCAGGCATTCCTGAGGGAAACCAGTGCCTTCCTGTTGCTCTTGACAGTGTGGAAACAGCAAATCTAACTATGTCAAGATCATCGATGAGATGGCAAGGTTTCCCCTAGTGATCCAATAAAGACTGCCATCTCCAATAACTGAAGTGCAAAACCAGTCTTTTCCCCCCCTGAGGCAAAACAGATGGTGGTTATTATCACACTGCTTCTCAGCAGATACTAATCTCTTCCTCCTGTGGTTCCTTCCACAGTAGCCCTTCTCTCTTCCCACCCATTGGGCCCTATGGCTCCATGCGCATTGTTGCAAAGTCTGCCACTTCCACGTGAGTGCGTTAAGAGAGTCATCATGCAAAGCTACAGCCACAGCCACCAGGACCACCAAGACCAACATAACCTTGTGAAAAACAATTATTGCCACACAAAAATAATAACAAAGCTTTTTCTTACTGTGAAAAGATAATACACTGTGCTTCATTCCAAGGAAAGAAAAACAAGCTAAAACTGCTAGGAAGCAAACGATGAAAAGGAAAAAAAGATTTCCTTCAAGCTTGCACCTGTGACTAGATAATATATCTCATTCAAGGGTGAACAGCTGGCTTGATTGGGCTCTGAACTTTTAAAATGTTTCATGCCTACTTGCAGACATCAAAGTTAACAGTCCATTAAAACAAAGAAAATGGACATTGCTTAGGAAGGCACAAGAAATGAACTGCTTTCAAGTCTGTTAGGAGCAGGTTTCTTAATCAGCAAATGCAAACAAACAAATGTAATATTACGTAGCTTAAAGCTAGAAGGGCATAGTGATAATGAATAACTGCTGATAGCTAATAGACACCAAAAATGAGCCTGTATTGTGGATAGGAAGCTTCCACTATGACAGATTTTGGAGAGACAGAATATCAGGCAAAATCCAAAGAAACAAAGCAAAGCAAAATGAAAGACAAAAACATGTGGCACCTTAAAGACTAACTATAATATTTTAATGTAAATTTTCATGGACATGTCCACTTCCTCAGACATGAAAAAAACAGAATGAAATGAAATGTAGATGAAATATCAGGTTCACATTCTGAATGTTCAAAATAGTTTCCTATAGGCAATGGTATCAGACAAGGCAGCATTTTATCCTCTTCTCTGTTCAATCTGTACCTAGAACATACCATATGGAAAGCTGGGCTAGATTCAGACAAAGGACAAATGAAAATTGGTGGGAAAAATACCAGTGGTTTAAAACCACTGGTTTAAGATATGCAGAGGATACCATCTTAATGACAGAAAGCAGCAATTGCTTGAAACAACTGTTAGACCAAGTGAAAGCAGAAATTGCCAAAGCAGGATTGCAGCTGAACGTTAAGAAGATAAAAATCATGACTACAGAAGGACTAAACAATTTTAATATTGATAAGGAAGAAACAGAAATAGTGAAAGATTTATTCAGTCATCAATTGAAATGGAGACAAGAAATCAGAAGAACACTGAGACAAAGAAGGGCAGCAATGAAGGAATTAGAAAAGATCATCGGTTGTAAGGATGTATTGCTGGAAACCAAGACTATCGACACTATTGCATTCCCGACCACCACATATGGGTATGAAAGCGAAGAACACTGAGACAAAGAAGGGCAGCAATAAAGGAATAAGAAAAGATCATCGGGTGTAAGGATGTGTTGCTGGAAACCAAGACTATCCACACTATTGCATTCCTGACCACCACATATGGGTATGAAAGTTAAATAGTTAAGAAAACTGATAGGAAAAAATGGATTCATTTGAAATGTGGTGCTGGAGGATAGTTCTGTAGATATCCTGGACTGCCAGAAAGACAAACTAGTGGGTCCTAGATCAAATCAAGCCTGAACTATCTCAAGAAGCAAATATGTTTGAAACTGAAGCAGTCCTACTTTGGGCACATCATGAGAAGGCAGGATTCTCTGGAAAAGACAATAATGCTGGGAAAGGTGGAAGGCAGCAGGAAAAGAAGAAGGCCAACTGTGAGATGGACTGACTCTTAACAGTAACCACAGGTTTGAGTTTACAAGAGCTGAGTGGAGCTGTTGAGGTCATTTTCGAGATCACTCATTCTTAAGTCTGACATGGGTGAAAGTTGCTCTATAGTTGGAGGTCCCTCTGGAACACTATTGTTGTGATTTGAAGGTTGCATGAAAAAAGGAGTGAATGAGAGGCTATGCAGGATCATAGGACCTTCCTGGACATGGATTTAGGTAAATACTGCACTGGATAAAAGATAATAAGCTGCTGGTTAACTTTATCATGACTAGACTTGTACTATCCTCATATATTTCCATTGCAGTATTAAATATTTCCCTAGAAAACATATCTCTACATCTGTCATGGGGATTCTATCTCTTATTTTCTTGACAGTCTATAAGCATAATCACTATTCATAGTGAAAGAACCAACTGCAAAGAAATTAACCACCCCATATGATAAAATGGCACCAGAGTTGCAAGATAAAGTGAAATTACATCAATTCATACCTATTGTACAGATGTGACCAGTTGTCTGTTACAAATTTCCATGTTATCCAGTGACCAATCTCATTTCTTGCCGCATTTTCAATTATTTCTGCTATACGATATGATGGAGTGCTAGAATCATTCAGGGTATACTGCAAGAATCTGCAAAGAAATACATTTGAAGTAAAAGAAAAATTATGAAAAAATTGTATTTCTAAAAACATTAGTAACTCTTCTAAGCAAAGAATCTGTTCTCCAAAATGCACCTTACTTGTCACTAATTTTTTTTTCCTGCCGTCCATGAAATGCAAGGCTGGTTTCAGCAGGGAAGAAGAGGAACAAATTCTGTGACTGTCCACTCCTTTTAAAGCCACCTAACAGCTAGAAAGTCATTCTGGTTTGCTTTGCACTGGGGACAAGGAAGCTCCAAGACAAAAACCAGCAGAAGAGCTCTCATCAAGGATTTTTCATATTAAAAATGAAACTGAAATGATCAGAAATGTTGAGAATGGGGGTCTGCCTCTTCTGCATTCCCTCCTCCATTTTCTTTCCAGGACAGTTGCAATCTGCCTCTGCTGCTCTGTCCTCCTGTCTCTGGGTTGCCTGCTTTAGTGTTTACGGCACTCACCACCACCCTGCCCTCTCTCTCCTTCTTTTCTCGTGCCACCTTTCTTCACCTCTTCTCCAACAGCTGCAGCCAATCTTTTCTCTCTCTCCTTCCTAGATTTCTTCTCTGCTTTTGTATTTTTCTGACTTTTTCTGGAGATAGCACTGTGCATCTAATAAGAAGGGAGGAAAGCCAAAGAAGGAAAACCAAAGGCAGAAGAGACAGTAAAACAATAATCACAAAGAGGGGGATAAATTCATACTCAGAGCAGAAGAAAAGTAAGGGGTGAAGCAGATACAAAAATGGAGAAACCATGGCATGGCAATACCATGACAGAGTGAAGGCAGAGATGAATTAGGGACAAGGGGAGAGAAAGAAAAGTGCTCCAGTTAAGCAGGCTCCACTGGAGAGAAAGAATTTGCGCTAAGCTGCCACTCAGTAGATGAAATAACACTAAATTGTCCTTCGAAACAAATAAACATACAAAGCGGCTCATTTATAAACAATTTTAAAAAAGATTTCGGAAAGTATTTTGAAATGTGTGAAAGAAGTAGCCTTCCAGATTTTTAAAAAACAATTTTAAAAGAAATGCTGATTTCTCCTAGAGAAGTGGCTTTCAAAAAGTAAATTTGGATCAAATACTGAAATGCCCCATGATCGTTTGACACAACCAACACCAAGAAGAGACAGAACAAGAACAAGGGAACAAATGCCCCATGTGGAGGATCCCTCAGTTACATATCAGTTAAAAAAAACACACTAAAGACATGCAATGCATAATGGGCAACAGATGTAAGAAACCTGTATGGCTAAAATGATACATTTAGTACCTTTTTATAGGGCAGGACTATGAATGTACTGTATCATGATTATGTAAGAATAGCCCCTTGAAGAGGCCTAATATTTTTCCAGAATCCTACAAACCTCATATTTCATTTAAAAGCCAGCAACCAACCCCTCTTCAAATGTCCAACCTTGTGATTATAGACTTGGAAGTGTGGAAAAAATATTTTAAAATCACATACATCAGGAGACATATGTTCCATGTGGAACTTTGATATGAAAAGATAGAACCTTTAAAACTCTTGCATCAGATCAGAGTTCCAGTTTTTTCCTAGGGACTAATTGAACTTCAGTATACAAATAACTATGTACCGTATTTTTCGCTCCATAAGACATACCTTTCCATAAGACGCACCGATTTTTTAGGAGAAGAAAACAGGAAAATATAATTTGTTTTCTTCGCTCCATAAGATGCACAGACTTTCCACCCCCCTGTTTTGTGGGAAAAAAGTGAGTCTTATGGTGCAAAAAATACAGTAACTTGGTTCAGTTGCTGAAGCTCCAGCTGACAAGCTAACTTTAACCTAAGGATTAAACTATAAACTACATTAATTACATTGTGTGCAAATTAGAACCATTTTCCTTTTTACTCTGACATAAACCTACTTGATTCTGATCCACACTGGGCAAGCATATCGATCATCTTTTTTCTTATTGTAAAACGCTCACCTCCTATACAATAGTTTAAGAGAAAAAGAGTTCTAGAAGCAGATTTTACACAGCTGGACTACTTTGTGACTGGAATCAACAACAAAACTGGTAAAACATAAGTTCAGCCTTGAAAAGTGCATGCCTAGGATTCTGACCTCATTAATAAAAGGGAACAATAGCAAATGTATGGACAGCTCATGAGAGCAGAATGTTTTTATTTTTACTTCCTTCTTTAAGAAACCACTAGTTTAAGAATGTGGAATATTGTGCTTCTTTCTATATTCACAATTCAAAACACCAGGAAATTGACTGATATTGCTGTACAATATTGGGCCTGTGTTGCCAAAAGGAAAAGGGATGCCAAGCTTTATAAAGAAAATGGCAGAGTGAATACTGACAACACCAATAAGAGCAGTCAAGATTTGTATAGCTTCTTATACTCAGTACCATTCATAAGGAGATACCAAGCAGGAGCAAATACCAGGCAAATACTCCTTTTTCATCATTTAACCTCTTCCCACCCAAACACAAAGAAATTGTCAGGACTGTTTTTCAACAAGTTCTCTATGTTAAAAACCCCATCTCAAAAAATCTTTGTCCATATATTCCTAAATTTGGCATTGAGCAAGAGCCGACTGTCTGCTACAACTACGACAAATGTTTTTATTTTAAAATGGTTTCATCCGAAGTCCATTTTAAAAATTATAAATTTTTGTTTGGGCTGCTCCCATTTTGAGAACTGCCTTGTAGAATGTTGATTTGCTCTGCTGCAGAAGATCATGTAAAAATAGTCTTTTTCTAGTCATTTATTCAATGGTCCTCAATGCACCATCCAATTTTTTGTTGTTGTTGTTTAGTCATTAATTTGTGTCCGATTCTTCGTGACCCCATGGACCAGAGCACGCCAGGCCCTCCTGTCTTCCACTGCCTCCCGGAGTTGGGTCAAATTCATGTCGGTAGCTTCGATGACACTGTCCAACCATCTCATCCTCTGTTGTCACCTTCTCCTCTTGCCTTCACACTTTCCCAGCATCAGGATTTTTTCCAGGGAATCTTCTCTTCTCACGAGATGGCCAATGTATTGGAGCCTCAGCTTCAGGATCTATCCTTCCAGTGAGCACTCAGGGTTGATTTCCTTCAGAATGGATAGGTTTGTTCTCCTTGCAGTCCAGGGGACTCTCAAGAACCTCCTCCAGCACCACAATTCAGAAGCATCAATTCTTCGGCGGTCAGCTTTCTTTATGGTCCAGCTCTCACTTCCATACATCACTACAGGAAAAGCCATAGCTTTGACTATTCAGACTTTTGTTGGCAAGGTGATGTCTCTGCTTTTTAAGATGCTGTCTATGTTTGTCATCACTTTCCTCCCAAGAAGCAGGCGTCTTTTAGTTTCGTGGCTGCTGTCACCATCTGCAGTGATCATGGAGCCCAAGAAGGTAAAA